GTAGAATTATTGCTAAAATGTTTATTAGATGATATTTCTTATTATTTCACCTTGTCCCGCCTTCTCCTTTAGTGAAAGCTTTCTTAAGCCTTTGTTCTTGGTTCTTGGCCTTTTGACCAGGAACCCTTTTTCTTGGAGTATTCCAATAAAAAGTAACCAGAAAACCTGCACCTCATGTCTGACGTCCATCATTGGCTTCGGCACCAGGCTGAGACCCGAATTGGGGACAACAATACAAAATTTGAATTTACATTTTCATTCCTAGTGCAATACTGTAACCTATACATCACACTAGAATGGAAAGAGATAAAGAACCCAATTAGGTCTACAGAAAATATTATCCCCTTATAAGGTCACCCTCAAAAAGTGATGGAAGGCATGGACTTTTTTTTTAACCAGAAGCCATTTCTATTCTTCCATTCTCATCTTACCTTTTTCTCCTTTTTCTCTTTTTTCTTTTTCTTGTCCTTTTTGTCTCCATCCTTATGGTCTTTATGTTCTTTTCCTTTGTCCTTTTCATCCTTCTTGTCTTTGTCTTCTCGCCCAAATGCTAAGAATGACAATGAGATTTCAGGATATGGGAAAATCAGCTGGGATATACACAGATCAGAAAAGTAAAGAACAAAGGGAATAATCTATCCTGTGCCTTGATTTCCTAACAAGGACACTTTCAAAGGTTTTTTTTCAGTGCATGCCAACATTTTCCTGCATGTTTTGTGTTGTAGTGCTGAATAGCTATTCAAACTTCATAGGAAGGATAGAGCTTTGAGGACAGAAGACCAACAACTATGATTGATTAGGTAGATGTTTTTTTAACTATTGCTTGTGCCAATTGAAATGAAAAAAAGATTACTCTTTAATGGAAAAATAAGTTTTACCTAAGATTTCCAGTTAGACCCTGTATTATACTTGCACAAAATCATTACATTACACAAAAATGCTTTCTCCACATGCAATACGATCTCATGCATTAGAATAGCTTTATAGTCCATACAGATAGGTTGTTTAAAGGGCCACAGCCAATGTCCATCCACCAGCCAATGTCGGCTGGCAACCCCCCGGGGGAGAGCCTTCTCTGTTGCAGCTCCAGCCCTCTGGAATGATCTCCCCGTCGAGATCCGGACCCTTACTACCCTCCCGGCCTTCCGCAAAGCCACCCAAGTCCTGGCTGCTCCAGCAGGCCGGGCGGCTTGTGAAACATCGAGCCCCACGGAAATTGTGAATGTTGTGGTTTTTGTTTTTAAAGTGTTGTCTTTGTCCAGTTTTCCCCTTCCCT